ATGGAGAGTGGAAGAGGTATATTGGGTTTCTATTTTTGGGGGTATTGTTGACAAGAGGAATTGCTGTGATTATTGTTTAATGTTGTATGGCGTTGGTTATGGACAGTATATATGTGAGTGTATGAAAATGAAAAAATGGAAAATAAAAAACATTATATCAAGAATATCACGCTGATAGATCTATAATCATATATCTTCTCCTTCCCTCCCTCCAGTTGTTAAAGATAGGAACAACAACTGTTCATCTACACTCTTGTGGGAACTCACTAGTTTGCTAGCAATTCTTGAAGACTACTGAGAGCAGTTCTGCAATCATTTTGCTAGCTCCTTCAGTACTTGTCTAGAATGCAATTCATCTGGCCATGGAGACTGAGCTCATTAAAACTTTGAATCCTCAGTTTCCATCAGCTGCTGCTAAATTACAGTTTATAGTGTAAAAGAAAGAAGAAATTATTAAATATCTGGGGAACAATCATGAATAAATAACTGTGATTAAACTTATATTGAATCCCTCATATCAAATTTTAACCAGTCCTCTTTACTTGTTGGAATACAGCATCATTTTGCATGGAAGTGCTTATGGTAATTGCTAGAGCAAATCAGATATTAATTAAAAAAAAAACAAAGAGTCTTGTGACACTTGAAGATTAACCAATTTATTATTTATCAGCTTTCATGGATCACATTCCACTTCATCAAGTGCTTGGAGGTTGGTTTTGAAAGGAGAAAAAAGAGTCAGAATAAATTTACTATTAATAGAAATGTGATAGTTTGGTGGGATAGAGATACTCTTGCACACTGATGAGCTGGTGGGATTTCTGCTGTTTACATTGTCTAATGAATTCTAGCTAAATTTAATACTGGTATAGGCTTTATAATTATTTTCCTAAAGGTCGATTTCCTTGAAAGCAGTAATGGAGCATTGTAAGAATTGGAAGCCAACACACTTGCCAAACATCACATTAATAAAAGTTTCAAATGCCTGAGGGCCAGATATAGAAGGGATATAAATTACTCTTATTATACTCTAATTTGAAATTTGTATTCTCTAAATCCCAATGCCACAATTGCAGATATTAGAAACTTTCTGATCTAAATAGGGTGCACATTCTATAGAAATCATCATCATCATCATGGTGCATCCTTCATGTTGCTCTAAAATAATGTGACTAGATTACCTTATTGTTCTTCTTTGTTCTGAGCAGAGCAGGCCAATAAATATTTCAATAGATTAGCTACTTAAGGGGATCAGAAAGGAAAATATTACATTTCCTATTAATGAATGAATTAATGGATGACTCAAGTTTGCTATGAGAGCAAGAAACCCTTAATAAATAAATTTTAACAAAATTATTTTGAATAGTGGGGTCTCAGTATGCATAGATTAAATCAGGAGGAATATTCAAAACACTTTTTGGGAAAGTATTTTTCTTTATAATTAATAATATGACAAACATATAATTAGAAGAACGGTTTAACGGTTTAGAAGAAAATGTTCTGGTACATAATATATGGTTGCACTGCAATCAGAAGTGATTATGATCACCAATGCACGGTAATTTGGACTGTAATAGACCTGTTCTCCAAACAGGCACACTTTATATCCTGCAGCGGACTACCCTCAGCTCACAAGCAGGCACACATACCGCCTGCATGGAGTACTTCAAAGAATTATCTCAGAGGGGTCCCGCTCACGGCTAAGTTCTGGAGGAAGCTCCTGCGGGCCATTGAGTCATCCCAGGGCCTTAGCTTGGCTTTTCACCCGAGCACCAATGGGGGGTGGGTCAGAGAGACTGAACGCTATGGTGGAGCTGCACCTGAGGTGCTATGTGAACTATCAGAAGTCCAATTGAGCAGACTTTCTGTCTTTCTCTGAAGTTGTATACAATAATTCTGTTCACAGCAGCACAGGACTAACACCGTTCACAGGAGTAAGCGGCACGGACTTTGTCCTAATGTCTGAGTATCCAAGGGATCCCCCTTCCTCAGTCAGCTTGACTGACTGGATGTCAATGCTAAAAGCAACCTGGGAGAATGTCAAAAAAACACTAGCTAAAGCAGCACAAACCTATAAGAAACAGGCAGATAACCACCAAGCTCCGCAACAACCATTCCTGGTGGGAGAGAAGGTTTACCTCTCCACAAAATAATTGAGGTTAAGACTCCCTAGCAAGAAACTGGGACCAAAGTTTGTGGGACTATTCCCCATAGTAAAGATCATCAACCCAGTCTCAGTGCAACTGAAACTGCCCTGACTGCTAGGGAAGGTACATCCAGTATTCCACAGTAGCCTCTTAAAACCCATGGTTGGATCCACTCTGAAACCACTGCCCTGGGAGCCCCCAGGCCCTGTGGTCATAGGGGGCCAAACCCAATATGAGGTGCAACACATCCTTGATTCGAGGTGGCACAGGAGGCAACTCCAGTACTCCAGTGGAAGGGCTACCCCTTGTGAGAGGCATCTTAGGTAAAGAGTAGAAATATCCAGGCTAGTCGCCTTATTGAAAGATTCCATGAAAAAAATGCAAACAAGCCAGGGGGGAGGATGTAGCCTTGAATCCTATACTTGTACTCAAATTGTTTTTGCTCAGAGAATGCTTTTGAAAAGTGAGGGGAGCCGGATGTCAACTCTCCATGTTGACATTTCACGCATACTGTCGGTGGAGCTGGATCTCAGATTACAGTAGCTGAGTTGAGATGGGTAATGTGATTTATGACACAGACTGAGGAGAGGAAAGGAACAGGGAAAAAGTTCAGAAGCAAAGAGAGCAAAGAAATGGCTGCTAATAAATATTGCCTAATGAAGAATGCATAAAGAAGCTGTTATTAAATCACTGGTTTTTGTATTAAGACATTGGCTTGCTTATTATGAATCAGGAATGGCATCTTTAGGAAACTTTACACTCTGCTCACCTCATAGTTGACATCTACCATGTACTGCACAAGGGGTTGCCCTTGAAGTTCATTCAGAAGCTTCAACTGGTTCAGAATAGTCGTATAGGTAGTGATGAGCATGTCGTAATTCAAGATGCTGGTTGCTACATATAAAATCCAACTGGCAGACTTGGTTACTTGAGGGACTCCCTGTCTCCCATAGTATCTGCCTAGCATCTGCTAGAAGAATCTCAGGTTCCTTCTATTAAATATTGCTATATTTTAGGACCATGGAAGTGTGCCTTCTCTGAAGCAGCACCTGCCCTCCATAATGAGGTTTTCCCTAATATTGGAATGTACTTTGGTGAGGGTGATTGAACCCCTTTTTGGGAGGGATTCCCATCTATTTTTGTCATTTCTGCCATTGTTATTCTTTTGTTGTTGATGTCATGTTACTTCCAGTCACTGGGAATCAGATGACATATACATTTAAATAATAATAAAAATAGTATTATTATGTTTATAGCAATATAAATAAAATCAACCAAATCCTGAGCCAAGCAGCTACACTTTTTTTGGTTCCTCCAAAAGAAAGGGGGGGGGGGGGAGAGAG